AGGTTACATTAATGCCCTAGAAATGAGTAATTAGTTTATGCTATAGCTAAGAACAACAATCTACATCTCAATGTTCATAAGAAAGTGGAGAAAAGGGAAAAAAAGATAGGAAGAGAGTAAATCCCAAACACTCTCTCGTGAATCTTCCATTTTTGTGTCATTGTTTTCCTCTTTTGAATCTCCAAAAAACTCCTTCCTTTTCGATCTCCTCCCTTTCCTCCCTAAAAAGTGGTCAGGTCACAACAAGCTGGAAGAGAGAGGGGTGACCTCTCTACTCCCCTTTTTGGCTAGGGTAAAAATAAGTCTAAAAACGAAAGTTCTATTCGTAGCACCTAGGCGCCCATTTGTGTGCCAGCAAAAACTTCGTTTCCAACTTCGTAGCGCATAGGTGCCCAATTTCGGCGCCTAAGCATCGACCATTTAGTCTTTTTATCTACCAAAAATGGGCACCTAGGCGCCCAAAGCACTGGAACAATGGCTCTTTTTCTTCTGAAATTTATCTTTTTCTCCGCTTCTTTAATTCAACTTCTACAAAACAAGACAAAAAACAAATAAACTAGCCAACGAAAAACCAACAAAAACTATTAAATAACCTAGAAAACATTCCAATTTACTAATCCAAAAATTTCACTCATCACTAATTCAACAACAAACCAACCTAAAGATGTTTTTAAAGGATGGCTCCCCACAAAAGTCTCAACTTCCTAACTGACTTGAAGTCCCTGTAAATATAGCATCTCCAACACTTCATTCATCATCATCAAGTGATCATTTTCAGATTTAGACACTTTGTTCTCAGCTTAATACGCTTTTCCCTTATTTCTTAAGTGTTGTTATTTTAAACTTAGTTTATTTTCAAGTTCACTCTTTGTTTTTTCAGCTTCTTACTTTTCAATTGTAAGCTTTTGATCTTATTAAGTTAAATTCCATCAAGTTATTTCATCTTTATTTCTCTCTCTGTATCTTTGAAGTTGTAATCACACAATCTTATGGAATTGACAGAGTACTGCTCCCCAATCTTGAAAGAGAACGGGTTATCATTCGGGTTACAACACCCATTTTCAGCTTGATTTAATTATATTCATCTTTGAATCATCTCTCTTATTTACATCAATGTTCAATTCTGTTTTTACTCTAAAGTTATGAGCTAAATTTATTTCCCCAAGTCCGGTTATGGATAATTAGCTAAAGTTGTTAAAATTGAACAAGGCAAAAGGTGTTTTTTCTCTTTTTTTTTTTTATCACTTAAGGTTGTTTTTATAAGTTAAACTTGATTTGTCCAATTAATGTTTTAACTAAACATCAATACTGAAAGGGTTCATACATTTCCACAACTTTAGTATAAGTTAAACTTGATTTGGCCAATTAATGTTTTAACGAAACATCAATACTAAAAGGGTTGATACATGGCCAATTAATGTTTTAACCAAGCATCAATACTAAAGGGGTTGATACATTTCCACAAGTTTAATATATGTTAAACTTGATTTGGTCAATTAATGTTTTAACCAAGTATCAATACTGAAAGGGTTGATACATTTTCACAACTTTAATGATCTAACTTTGGAGAGAAATACTTTAGCCATAAAGATTTCGCTCGGGTAGCCTAGACATAGGACCTTGACCTAAGGTTACGATTGGTTTTTATTAAATTAAATTCAATTTTCTAATAGACATATTATGGATCAGCTCATACCTTCAAAATCACATTGACATAAGAAGATGGTAAAGCAAAACCGATGAAAATTTTAGAGAGGCGTCTGGCGCCTAGTTCAAAAAAGTTTGCATATTTTTAGCTAATTTGAAATAACTAATCTAGGTTTATTATATTGAGTCTTTAAAATATCAAAACCAACATTATCCTTCATATTTGTTATCCCAAATTCATTAAGAAGACTTCATTAGTCCTTGAGGATCGATACTCGGAATAATCATTCCATTTTACTACTTGTGCGGGTGTACACTTACGCTCTTTCATTTATTTAAAATCCAAAATCCCAAACCCTTCATTTACACGAATCTCACATTTTGTAGTCATTTAAGTAATTGTTCTTCTAAATATTTCCAGACCTGGAAGGATGTCTCAGTCCCTCTAATCATATTCATAACATCTTTAGATATAATCCCCAATAGCCAAGAGGTTAGGAGTCTATCGTTTGTTGTTTAGAGAATGTGTGTAGGGTTGATTTTCAAGCTCCAATCTTTATCATATATCTCCTTTCCTGGCCTTCTTCTTTAGTGAGATGATGATCAATTCCCATGCTCATCATCAAAGGTAATACTTGAGATTTCCATAACATTTAGCTTAACTGAGATCAAGCTGGTGCATTGGAGAAAGGATTGAATGGTAAGGGCTTTTTTTGTAGTTGCCATGAGAATAAATTTGAGATATGATGAGGTGGTTTATTTTGTTAGCACCGCAAGCTCTGATACCATGAACAAACCAACCTCAATATAGATAAATCATAGAGTAATTCTCACTTGAAAAATTGATTTCACAGGAGTAGAGATAAACTCCACTTATACAGAGGAGGTATGAAGCTATTGTCATCGCTAAAATAAGGAAGGAGGAAAGAGTAATAAAATGATACGAGGGTAGAGATTTGGGCAAAGATTGCCCCATTTACACCAACTACTTTCCTAAAATTATGCTACTTATATTGAAATAATACATATGAGTAAATGCTATAAATGCTATCCAAATATGAGAATGTCAGCCTTCCAAGTAAGGTTAAAAATAGGATTCCAGCTCTCAATTAGGAAGTAGAATATTGCATAATATTTTGCTGATCTGCTACTTSGTACACTTCAACTATGCCAACATGTATGATGAGATTGTTGAGGTTGCACAAATCATTTCCTTTGGTCTCTTATATAATCTTGGTTGATTGATGTTAGACTTGAAATCATACGTTTGGAGAGAGGTGGTTTATAGTTAATATTGAGATGCATTACTAAAGAGGTTTTAAGATAGGGAGTTTTAGTCATTTACAAGCCATTAAAAGACTTATTCAATAAAGCGTTTATTTGTTATGAAAACTAGATATAGAGATATTTGTTTGTTGATTAGTAAGGAGAATTAGCTTGCACTAGGGGACTAGATTTTATAGTTCTTGGCCTAAAGAATTAATAATTCGTTCAAGCTTGAGTAATTAAGTAATTGATTCATCGATTAAGTTAGGACCTTTCTCCCCATTGATTTTATCCTTATTATTGTATGTGTAAATTACTTGAATTCTATTATTTCATTCAATTTAAACTCCCTAAATAAAATTGAGGGATTGTATCATTGGTACTTGAGTAAACTATAAATCCAATCCAAAAAATGATATCAGTATTAACTTACCATTTTTATTAAAATTTGACCCGTACACTTGCACTAAGCAAAATCTGTTACAAATATCTAGATGGGAAAAAACACAACCCAAAAGAATGATTTGTTTTTCAATAACTAAACACAAAGGATGCTTTTAGAAGTTACATTGATACTAGAATCTTTAGTACAACCTAATTCCATGAACCTTAAGGACATAAAATGGGGAAAAAAAAACAGGCAAGTTGAAAATTAATTTTCATTTTCAAAGAAAACTACTCCGAAACAAGTCCAAACGAGTTGGAAATACATAAACACTTATTGGTTCTGTTTTTGGCAAAGATCAATATAGATCACTGACCTGACCATTTTGATATCTATCTTATTCCAATTCCAAAAGCAGATGGTAAAAGAAAAGAGATAAAAGGAAAATGAAGGAGAGATTGTTCTAGGAGTTGATTAACTTGATATGTTAATCAAGGCAGAGTGTAATCTTATATTGAGAGGACCTTGCAAATGTTATGAAAATTTCAAGTTGTAATGTAATGTGTTTATGAAACTATAGTAAAAGAGCTATAATCAAGGGTTCAATTAGAAAAGTATAATTTGGATATGGGTGAATGATAATCACAAGGTAAAAGATGCCTATACTTGAAATAGTGTAAGAATAAATTTGTTGACTGGGCGTTGAAACAACTCAAGTACCATTTCAATCAATCACTTAAAGGTAAATATATCTTCACAAATTTAAGCCATAAAACATTAAAGAAAAATGAAATTATAATCATACTAAAGATGTAAATATTATGATGAATATCTTTTTCATCTTAACAGGTTTAAGCCGATAAATCTGACAGCCTAGAAATGGGTTGGGAACAATTGAATGACCTTAGTGACGATCTAATAACCATTGTAATACTAAGATCCAACCTAACTCCTACAAATATGTCATCACTCCACTCAAACAGGCATGCAAATTTGTCAGCATTGCTAGGGTCAAGAATTAGACTGACTTGATCAGTTTTGTTCTTTGCGTGAACGTCTTCATACACAGCTCGCTCCTCTCAACTCGGCTAGTCGCCTCGCATAGATTTAAGACTCGAGAGAATTCGGCTTAAACAAAATGTAAAGCGTATAAAAAATTATCTAATAAAGACATGCAGTTCATTTATTGAATGAACTATACAAGTAGCACACAAGGAATATGTATTTATATGTATAGGATGAGGTTTAAAACTTTACAAATAACTAACATAAATTGCAAACTTATAAAATCACACGACACCAGCTGTGACTTTTTGAAAAAAAATAAATGTCATTGTACTTTTATAAAAACATATTTATTTTATACACTCTAGTGTAGTTTTTAATAATTTTTTATTTAATAATTTGTAATAGATTTTAAGAACGTCATCGATATCAAATAAATTCTTTTATGCAATTTCTTTTACAATAGAAAGACTTTATATCAAATCATACTATAAAATAAAGTGAAGCCAATATGAGTTTAGATCAACAGTAATTAGCATATATCTATATGACCAAGAAGTTTACGAGTTTAAATCTCTCTCGCTCCGTTTTGTTGTACTAAAAAGGCAGAGAAAAATAAATTTAATAATGATTGGTTTTTAAACTTCAAGATAAATGATATTTGAAAAGGAAAAAAAAAGTTGGTAGACAAACGAGATTCAAATAAACATAAAAGTAGTATATTATTGAACAATTACATTCAAATATATCCGTAAATGAAAATAAAATATTCTTGCCAACGAATTTCTTTAATCGATCATGCGAACTCATTAACTCGTAGGGTAATCACATTGTCCATACTCTGCATCACAAGTGACACCATTCAGTCAAATATTTCTACAAAAGGGATATTAAAAGATAAAAAAAAAAAAGGATTGAAATTTTCATGTTACTTACGGGGAGGTTGATCAACGACGTACGCAGCTCCGTCGAAATCGCAAGACCCAGCCGCACGAGTCTTTTTCTGGTAAAAGCTGTTGAAAGCGTACGAAGCATGGGCCTCGAGTGTATTAGGATTGAAGCACGTGGAACCAGGTTGGATCGGACCGCAATCGGCACCTCCCACCCCACATGCATACTCTAGTCCTGCTTGGAGTTTATTCGCACCAGCGTTCTCGTTGGCCACACACCACGCTTGACCCTGGGACGATGGCGTCCCACTTGCAGGCGGCGTCCCACTTGCAGGCGGTGTCCCACTACTAGGAGGCGTCCCACTGCTAGGCGATGTCCCACTGTCAGACCCCGTTGGAAATTCACAGTCTTCATACTCTACACCAAAAATAATATCGTTCAGCCAAATCATTTTTAAACTGTATATTAAAAGAAAAAAAGTCAAAGTGGATGGATTGAAGTTTTAATGGTACTTACGGGGAGGTTCATCAACAACGGAAGCTGCTCCATTGAAATCGCACGACCCAGTAGCATGAGCCTTCTTTTGGTAAAAGCTATTAAAAGCATATGAAGCGTGGGCTTCAAGAGTATTAGGATTGTAGCACGTGGAACCCGGCTGGATCGGACCACAATCAGCACCTCCCTCCCCACACGCATACTCCAGCCCTGCCTTGAGCTTATCCTGCCCAGCGTTCGCGTTGGCCACACACCACGTTTGACCTTGGGGCGAAGGTGTCACACTGCTAGGCGGCGGCATCGCAGTGTTCGGCGGTGACCCACTACTAACTGGTGTCCCACTATCTGGCCCTGTAGGGAATTCGCATTCTCCATACTCTACATCACAAATGACTTGTTTAGCCAAATTGTTTTAAAATTGATATTCAAATAAAAAATTGAGTAATTGAATTTTTTTATGGTCTTTACGGGGAGGTTGATCAACGACAGAAGCAGCTCCATCGAAATCGCAGGATCCAGCCGCACGAGCCTTCTTTTGATAAAAGCTATTGAAAGCATACGAAGCGTGGGCCTCAAGTGAATTAGGATTGTAGCACGTGGAACCCGGTTGGATCGGACCGCAATCCGCGCCTCCCACCCCACAAGCATAGTCCAGCCCCGCCTTAAGCTTATCCTCCCCAGCGTTTGCATTTGCCACACACCACGTTTGACCTTGGGATGATGGTGTTTCATTGGTAGGAGGTGTCTCATTACTAGGTGGCGTCCCAACAACGGGTGGCGTCCCATTGGCAGGTGGTGTCCCACTACTAGGTGACGTCCCACTATCAGGTCCCGTAGTGAATTCACAATATCCATACTCTACATCATAAATTACATCGTTTAACCAAATTATTTTCAAAAAATTGATATCAAAAGGAAAAAAATAGACGAATTGAAATTTTAATAGTACTTACGGGGAGGTTGATCAACGACATAAGCAGCGCCATCGAAATCACAAGACTTAGCCGCACGACCATTATTTTGGTAAACACTATTGAAAGCGTATGAAGCGTGTGCCTCGAGCAAATTAGGATAATAGCATGTGGAACCTGGCTGGATTGGACTGCAATCGGCCCCTCCGTCCCCACATGCATACTCAAGCCCCACCTGGAGCTTATCCCCTCCAGCATTCGCGTTGGCCACACACCACGTTTGACCCTGAGAAGATGGCTTTCCAGTAGTAGGCGACATTTGGTCATTACTTCCGTTGACTGACGTCTTAGGCCGAGTCTTAAGTTGGTTAATTGTGAGTGGAATATTGTATACCCTCTGTTCGTTAGGGTAAAATAGGCCATAATTCCTTTCCGATGTTGGACCTGGTTTCTGGTACTCGTTAAATAGTGCAAACAAATAGACATTGATGGGGTCCTTTGGTTTCATAGGGGTCCCACCTCCCGTTAGAACTCTACGCACCAAATTTCCATTATAGGATGCTGCATTCTCCACACTCGCTCCAAGTTCCCCATCATCTCCTTTTGATGGCCACCCGGTCTCCGTAATGACCAACTGAATGTCGTCGTATTTCAGCGCTTTCATAGCCGCATAAACAGCGTCAACTTGAGCCTCGAAAAGGCTAAAGTATTTTAAGCCACTACCGGAATCCAAGACGCCAGGATTGTCTTGGAAGAGAGTGTAGTTGAGGGAGATCTTGTCGGAGTTAGCGGAATAGGCGAAGAAGGGGTAGATGTTAACCATGAGGTAGGATTTGGTCTGGCGGAAGAATTCCAGCATGGGCTTCATGACAGAGTCAACGAGATCCTGTTTGAAGGAACCAGATGAAGTTGGGTAGGAGGATGCGAGAGCACTGAAAGCAATTGGGGAGGATACTTTGATGGAGTCACCGAGTTTGTACTTCTGAAGGGAAGCGTAGATGTTCTTCATTGCTGGGACGAGGAACTTGGTGATGTTGGTGGGGTCGACGAAGACTTCATTTCCGACAGCAATGGCTTCAATTTTTGTGGTCGGGTGGAACTTGGTTATGTTCGCCTGGACCCACTGGTCAGTGAAGGACTGGCTGGCGGCAGCGGAGGAAAGGAGCTGGTTTGGGACGCACACAATGACGGATATGCCAGTCTTAGCGAGGGCGGTGAGGACGGTGGGATCGGTGTCGAATATTTTTACTCCTCTGATTCCTTGGTCTTTTAAGAGCTCGACTACTTTGGCGGGTGCAGGTAAGTCATCGGCAAGTCGGCCATAATTCACCCCAACCCATCCCGCTGCATCTGCGAGAGATATGGCCGAGAGGAAAAGGTAGAGGAACGAGAATATGGGCATGCTTTGGGATGGTGGGGGAACGGTGATTTGCAATGAGGCTGCCTCCACACCCTGAATTTATACGGACAGAAAGTTGTGGCTAATTCTAACGAGAAAGACAGAATGGACAGCTGGTTGAATCCATGGATAAAAATAGAAAATTATCGTCCATAATTAGTTATATCATGCCTCATTTAAATGACTAAATTTAAGGAAACTGTTGGTCTTTGTTTGTTTTGAATTGTGTCGGATCAATTGCAACCGAGTGAGTTCTAAAAATTTATGTTTTTTTTACGAGTCCATGAACACAAATTTACATAAAAATATGAATAAAAACTATGTGTAATTTTGTATAACATTAACCTTCTCATGGGAATATGGAACTTCAATATGAATATTATTCAAAAAATATTTTTTTGTTTAAAATAGTCATTTTGGTCTATATACTTTTAAAAATTAACTATTGTGATTCATTCCTGAACAAATTTAACATAGATTCTACAGATAACGTATACATAAACAAAACAAAGATTTATTATAACATTATTATAAAAGAAAAATAACAAAACGAGATTGTAATATAAAGTTATTGTTACATTTTATGAAATATATTGAGTACTGTAATGTCCTGTTGAAATTGTGATATAAAAAATGAGATTAAACAATAAAATTGAGGGATCAAAATGGTCACTTTATAACCGTAAATGTACTAAAATAGACATTTTCAAAGTAGAGTAACTAAAACCAACCAAAATAGAAAGTACCGAAACCAAATGTTCATTTTAAAAGTACATGGACAAAAAAATAACCAAAGTTAAAAGTTGAAAGTACAGTGTCGAAAATAGTATTTTAATTAAAGTATAATCTTTAGCAAAATTTAAAACATGTATCTTTTAATAGCTTATAAATCGAAATTTTATATTATATGAATCATACTTAAACAAATATTTTGTCAACATATCTTTTATATTAATAAAATATAAAATTCCCTTTTATTCCCAATATAAAATTCCCTTTTATTCCCTTCATTATTTAATGTATTCAATATATTCCCCCTACTTCCTTCCTTACGTCTTCTTCGTTTTAATGGGTGAGTTATTAAGATTTTCTTCTTCATCCCTAAAATCTCTCTTCAAAATCTAATGTTCCCGTCAAATTTGAAAAAACCCACAAAATTACTGTTTAAAAATAGATTGTGGTTTGATTTAGAAACCTGTATCTATAAAAACCCACAAAAACCTAACCCACAAAAACCTACTTCAAATGTTCCTCTTCCTCGGATTTTCTTTCCGTGAAAACCCAAAAAATTGATCTTCTTTCTACGGAAACCCACAAAAAACTACTTCAAATATTCCTCTTCTTCACATTTTCTTTCAATGAAAACCCATAAAAATTAGATTTTCTTCTTCGGATCTTCTTTCTATGGAAACCCACGTAGCCTTACTTCAAATCTTCCTCTTCTTCAGATTTTCTTTCCCTAAAAACCCAAAAAAATTAGATCTTCTTCTTGAGATCGTTTTCCTATGGAAATTCACAAAAACCCATTATAGATCTTCATCAAAACCGACCTCCGTAAAACCCACTTCGAAATAAGAACCAGCTCTTTCCGCTCCGTCGTTAATCAATTAGCTCGCTGTCGTCGTCGYCGTCCGGCATCTCCTTTGTCGCCGCCGTGCATCTCCTTTATGGCTGCCGGAGATCTTCTCTCTTCCACCATAGTGGATGTTCTTTCCGACACATTTGGAGAGGTAGGGAGAGAGGAGGGAGAGAAGAATGACGCAACCGCCCACGAAAGTAGGGTTATGTGAAGGTTACCTTTATGGTTGGTTGGTAGAACTGAACCGAACCGACTAGATTTGTATTTAACCGAACCGAACCGAAACGAATTGGATCGGTTTGGTTCAGTTCGTCGGTTCGGTTCGAATACTTACACCCCTAAGTTTATTTAGATATTCATGTCTTCTTTAGCTGTCTAACTATAATGTGCAGACACCATATTTTGTTGGACTTTAACTTTTAATAAAAAAATCATTTCAAAATAGTTGCTGGTTTAAAAAAATGAAAAAAAATAAATTAATCAAGATTTTAGATCTTAATTTCCCATAGATTTTTAGTTAATCTTTATTAGAATTTTGATTTAAAAGAGTGCCAAACACAAATTTAAAATACGGCTTTAGAATCCTATTTCAAATTGATTTTGATTAAAGCAGAATATTGAATTAAATATTAGAAAACCGAATTTTTTTGAATTAAAGATTAGAAAATCAAATTTCTATCTTACTCCTAAACCTGTTTGATATAAATGTACCAAGTTTTGAATAAGTTTCTAAGTCGTAGAGGATTCTTTTAGCTGAACAGAGGCTCAGTCCACGTGAAAGACAGGGAGGACCGTAAAACAAAACAAAAAGTTGGTGAATAAAATTTTCCGTGTGCCAAAATTTATTAATAGTAAAATCATTTTGTTTTTACTTTAATCTTATTTTCTCTCCTCATTTGCCCATTCTGCCACGGTTTCCCCACTTTACTACATGAAGACAGGTGGGTAATTGATTTGTTTTTTGTTGCGAAAGATTATGGTCATTTGGTTATTTCTCGCGAGGTTTTGATTATAAAATCTCACGGGTGTTAATGTAGGATTCAGTTGACCTTCTCAAGATTAGCCACGATGGCAACTTGGACAAGCTAAGGGGGTGACCTTATGCTAGAGGGACCTATAAAATGAACAAATACTCCGATGTTAAAGTCAAGTATGACACGATTTATTGTAAGTGGAGTGTCCCTTTTATAGGCGATGGGGTGTTGAGAATAATAAAATGTGTTTGGGGAAGGGAATACCCTGGACACGTGGAGGACCCCTATTGGTGCTCCAAGATGGCTCATGAGTCATGCCCAGCTCGGATAGCCGAGATGGCCGCCACTAACACCGACAAATGCTAAGTATGAGGGCCGAGGTGAACCTGGCCCAGGTCTGACCTACCGGGGAGCTCAGTAGGGGCCGATGTGAGCAACTGTCTGCAGCGTGATTATCGGGCGTAACCGTCGGTCCCGAGATTACCGGGTGTAACCGACGGTCCCGAGATTACCGAATGTAACCGTCGCGAGATTGGCGGGACCACCGCCCATAAGTAAGAGGACCTCACTCCTCGATCAGGTACGACGATTTCTGGCCTCGAACTAAACTCGGAATCCGACCTATACTGACTTGATCGTCGGAGTGCTCACCTTTTTGTGCAGGTCCGCCCAAGTGTTCAGGTCGGTCCGGAGGCCGAGTTCGAGCTGCAATCTGGAACACACTGTTGTGCACATCTTTGCATAAACAAAATCTTTTTTTAAACAAGTTTGATCATTATAGTTATGGAAACAGAATAACATT